AAGCCATCTCAACTAATGAACGTTCATAACATCATTCATTGACCTGCCCAATACTCTTCAACTGACGCTTAACATTGCTTACACGGTGATTGTACCAAACGAGAGCAATGCTACTTCTAGAGATCAGACAAACAGTATGCATCGCCCAAGACGTGAAACATTGGCAAATAACTTTTAGGAACTTGAGACTCAACGATCAATAGATATAATGACATGGACCTATCTATCTATAAAGCAATCAGATACAAAAAGAAGGTCAGAGTTCCCTTCAGAAGGCCAACCAGTCGAAACAATTATGCAGATAATAACAAGATCCTAGCAGAAACAACCAATCATACACAAGGCCATCAGGACAAGCTATTACGCGACCTGCTAAGAAAATCACATAACCCACTTCTTTCACAATTTTTCGCTGATTATTCAACTCAGAGAACATAATACTACCTAAATCATCCTTCTGAGCTACAAATATTCTCCATCATCTCACTGTCACCTGCTGTTAAGTTTGTCTAACCAGAATCCACCTCTCATTCATGAAAGAAACCAAGTTAGCTTCTGTGAATTGGATGTAGGGGGTTGTAAAAGTTGGAGGTATTAAGATGTATCTTTTGCCACCCCCCGTCGCACCCTAGCATAAATGAGAAGGAGATTTATGATTCGTAGTATGCATGTTTCGATTCAGTTATTATTTGTTTTGACTTCAATAGTTGTAATCATTCAACTCAATTCAGTTTGTAATCAACGTTTTTCAGTAATAATAATATCAGTGGAAACATTAACTTCACTTTGAATTGACTGACGTGACAAGGTAGGGTGAGTTACTTAAAAATCAATTAAATGAGCAATAATCCACTTTTAATCATTGAACGATAGATAAAGTATATGAACCATAACATGAATATAGCACATAAAAAGGAAATAACAAGGTGTTTCAAATTGTCATTAAATGCTTATTAAAGTAATGTGTTTTATGTATGTTTGATAGTTAGTTCTTATCACCTGGAAGACTGAACTAAAAAGAAGTTATTTAAAACAATTGTTCGCTCAGATTATTATTCTTGTTCAGAAATTCCATCGATAAACTTTCAGCACGAATATAGATTATTATTTGTCCCTTGGGTTCGTAGTGGAACATAGGGCTTCGGTAGCACGTCTCCAATGCGTTCTGTTCTCTGAAATCTTTTGAACCTGGCTCCACCATAGCCCACAAGCTCTCATTTCTTCCTCACACTATCTCCTCCATGTCACCCTCAACTCGCACGCCAAACTCGTCGTTTCCCATCTAGGGTCCACTCGAGTGCCTGACGTGTGATGTCCCGGAATGGTCTTCTCAGTGCATGCCCAATCCAATCCATCTCCACCTCCTTCAAGCGCATATTTGTTCAGCGATAGGTCCTTGCTTCGTTGCTAATTCTGTCTGGCCATCTGAGCTTCAGTAACGAGCCAGCGTAGGTGGCAGTTGCTGATGAATGTCTGTAGTTTGTTGGAAATCACTTTCGTAATGCACCAAGTCTCTCAACCATCACATAGAAGCACTGACTGACTTGACTGATGTTGGTGTTGAAAATGCGCACCTTGTTCACACTTTATGCTGAGTGCAGAAGATCACCACACTGGTTTCAGGTTAATCAACGCCTGTCTTGTTTTTCTGATCCTGGCTTTGACGTCCTCGTCTGTGACACCTGTAGTTGAAACGGTGCTGTCCAGATAGGTGAAAGAGGCTACGGATATAGATAGACCGACAGAATCAAAGCAGAACCTCGCCAAAAACTGCATTGGTTCAAGTTGTCATACTTCACAGTAGTATACAAAGAAAAAGCTTTGGAAGAGGTCAAAGAGTGAAAACATTTTCGCTATTGAGACCGAATTTCAGCCATGTCAACAAGAGTCAATTCTCAACGACTGGCGGAGCACAACGATACGATGCAGACAAACAGTCAGAGATTTCATGGCCTGGTGCTACATCTTTGTATGGTCACCCTGAACCCTCTTTCAAGCTAATCCAACTCTCCTAGCATGACATGTCGAGGTGAGCGGTGACTCACTCGGTGTGCGCAGTATATGTCGAAGTCATCTCAATCGATTAAGATTAACAACCTCACCAATCAAATTGCCTGTATCATCCATTACCCGTAGCCTGACCTCAACATTGCTCACCCAGTAACTGTATCATACGCTAGTAATGCTATGAAGAAACATATGATCAAAAACCTGTAACTACTGAAATAAAAGTCACAGAACTTTGGAAATAGAATTAGGGCTTTTGTTTAAACGTGTAAATGTTTCCGAGGAACATATTCTGTTTCATATTAAATTCAAATCATTCCATTGATGCACAACACCGAACTGACATACTGCATATCCTTGCTAGAGTAAGTGACATTAAAAGTCAAGATAACAACTACTATATATTTTGGATGAAAGGATAGTTTTTTATGAAAGAAAAAAAAGCCTAATTAACTATTCACTATTCTATCCGGAGATTTATTAGTTGATTTCAAGTTGGAAATCATCACCGACTGATATCAGTTGGAGAAAAATTGGAAACCTGAGATCACTGGACAGTTGTATCGTCCTACTGGTAAGGGATTACTCATCAGTGCACAACAAGGGATTGAGCCCAAGACCATTGAGTCACTAAATCAGAATCCAATGGTCCATATTTTCGACTTCTATCAGTTTCCCAAATGGGAGATGATGAATTGGTCGTCCGATGTGAGGGTAACATGGAGGTGATTGTGTGAGGAATTAGTGAAAGCATGTGGGCAGTGGTGGAACCAGGTTGAAAAGACTACCGAGGACAGAGTGAAGCCCTATGTCCCACTAGGAACCCAAGGGACGAATAATAATAATAATAATAATTATCATTTATTATTATTAGTCCCTGGGGTTCCTAGTGGAACATAGGGCTTCAGTAGCACGTCTCCAGTGACCTCTGTTCTCTGAGATCTTTTGATCCTGGTTCCACGACAGCCTACAACCTCTCATTTCCTCCTCGCACGATCTCCTCCATGTCACCCTCGGACGTCCAACTCGTCGCTTTCCATGGGGATTCCACTCGACCAACTGGCCTGACGCGTGATGTCCTCAGTCGGCCTTCTCAGTGCATGCCCAATCCATCTCCACTTCCTTCCAGTGCATATTTGTTGCGTGATAGGTTCTTGCTTTGTTGGTTAGATCCCAGAGCTCCTTGTTGCTTATTCTTTCTGGCAATCCATCTGAGCTTCAGTAGCGAGTCAGCGTAGGTGGCAGTTGTTGATGAATGTCTGTAGTTTATTGGAAATGCCTTTCGTGACGCGCCAAGTCTCTGCGCCATACAGAAGCAGTGACTGACTTGACTGACGTTGGTGTTGAAAATGCGCACCTTGTTCACACTTTATGCTGAGTGCAGAAGATCTCCACACTGGTTTCAGTTAATCAACGCCTGCTTGCCTTGCTTTTCCGATTCTGACTTTGACATCCTCGTCTGTGCCTATGCTGCCTGTAGTTGAAACAGTGCTTCCTAGATAGGTGAAGGAGGTTACTTCCTTTAAGTTTCTCCCGTGGATGGTGACTGGAGTTTGTTGTTGGTGGTGCGTTATCTTCAACACCTCTGTTTTCTCTATATTCACCTGAAGTCCCGTCTTCGCTGCCTCTTCTGTCAACTTGTTAGTTTTCGCCTGTAGATCTTCAAGTTTATGTGACATGAGACACAAGTGATCGTCGAAATCTAAGTCTTCTAGGTTCTTTTCCGCAGTCCAGTGTATCCCTATCTTCTCGCTCCCCACTGTTTGCTGCATAATAATATAATAATAATAATAAACCCTTATTCTAGCCGCATACATGAGAGAGAGAGAGAAAGAAAGAAAGAAAGGAGAAAACAACATCTCCTTATCTAAAGTATATTATTGTTGGGTAATCTAAACTGTCTCCATATATACAACTGAATGTCTTATTCAACAATGCATTATAAAAAAATTGGAAACATTTGATTTCACTCAGCAGACAATTATTTGCAAACTATTTAAAAAAAATCATAAATAAATGTATGCTGGGGGGGGGATCAAATTGAAAGCTCTTCTTTCACTCCAACTATAACAAATAATGTTATTGAATAATAAATAAATCGTAAGCAAAATACCCCGATCAATGATATAACTAACAACAATTGATCGAAGGATGTGTAACTGCTTTTACAGAGTATACATATAATACTTATTACAACATTAATGACTATACTGTAAACTGCTTAACTAAATAAATAAATAAATAAATAAATAAATAAATGAGAAACAGAGGGGTTCAGACTATAATAAGTAATCCTTGAATAAAATTGTTAACAGACTATGTAGATACATATCTGTACACATATACACAAAAGAAGTAATAATGTAAATTGTTTACTGAATAATTGAAATTCAATTAAAATTGGATCAGTAGTCAAGTTTTATAGTTCAATTAATAGAACACTGGATCTGAAAAAAAACCTGATTCAAATCCTATTTATGATCCAAAAACTTTTCATTTTACCTTCTTTAAGCATCACTAAAATCATATAAGATTATCTTGCATAGATAGTCAAAATGTATTTGTTAATAAAGTTCTCTTTAAAACCTGTACAACAACAATGATAACACCATACGAAGTAGTCACTAATGCAGAAAAAGTCAAAAGAGGAGAAAGACCGCAACAATTCAACTTTTACACACACACACACACACATAGTGAAGGGACAGTTTTTTCTCTGAATTCCAAATTACTAAATAAATATTAAAAAAAAACACAAAAATATCCAAGAGTAAAATTACAAACCAATCAAATGAGGCAGAATAGACACGTGGGGCGAAGGGGGAATCAGTAATCCTTTAGTGTACAATCTATGCAAAATAATAATCAACTACTAGTTAAATCTGATGCTGACAAGAAAGAAAACACCTCTCAATGTTTTTAAATAGATTTCTTTCCAAATTCTAGCATAGTAAACAACTACTAAAGCTACAATTGTTGACAATAGTTACTACCTAGTAGTATCTACGCAAGTAATCTATAAAACTAAAGAGAAATATATAAAAAAAAGACAAAAATAAACTGATTACAATGTGTTTAAAGAGCAATTTAAAAGCAAAAAGGAACACAATAAGTTACCAACCTAATCTTGTATTCATTTGCCAGATCCTAAAATATATAAGCACTTCAATGTAAACTAGGCATATTGATAATACGGTAGATTAGTTGAAAGAGAGAGAGGGAGCATTGGGTCGAAAACTCGGTAATCGGTTGGTTCGAATTCAGCTGCGGTCCAAGTATTCATTTCACCTTCAATTATCATCCAGTAATAATACTAGCCTGTCAAACTATGACAACCTCAGATAGTCAAAAACATATTATTATCACTACTAATACTACTACTATTATTATCAATAGTGAGTAAAACTACTTAAAGATAAGTAGTTAGTAGTATAATCCTTATAAAGTACAATTGTGGTTATAAGCAAACTTATTTATATAACGTCAAAGTTAAATTTCACATTGACACCAACTTCCACTATTTTTTTGTTCAACTGTGAAAATAAGAACAACACCTATGTCAACGTTTAATCTTCTATCCAAAAATTCTATGATTAGCTTCCATACTGGAAATGATGTATTCATATTAAGTAACGATATCAACGAATAAAAATCTCCTGAATAACATCAAGGTAGAAAAAAAATCTAATGACTGAAATGAAATTTCATAGGAAAGTTGATGTTTTCGGATGGATGGTTCGAATTGGACTGACATCAGTTTGAGAATCTGAGAACACTGGAAAGATGTTTCATCCTTGTATGGCACTTTTTCGAAGTACACACTATAAACTTCACTTTGTCAAGGAACCATCTCACGATATTCAGGTTTCATGGCAAATGCGCTAATCATTCAGTCACTGAATCGGAGTTCAACGGTCCACAGTTCCCTACTTTTGTCGATTCGCGATATAGCGTGACTATATCCACCAAGGTCTTCCATTTGGTATCCACTTTCCTTCCAACTGATTGACACACCATAGGTCACGGCTTCGCATTGGAATTTAGGGATAACCATCTAATGAGTGCTATGAACTCCGAACTAGTGGATGAACGGCTAACGTGTTCGCCGTAAAGCCTGAAGGTCCTGAGCCATATCGCCAGTGAGGTCATGGACGAGTACTGATAAAGATTCCTATATATATATGAAATGAAAACGTACGTAACAGCAGGGTTCGAACTAGCGGCCTCCTGGTTAACGGTACGATGATCTACAAGCTGACCTACGAGAACCAGCTTCTGGTCAGGCCGTAACTTCAATTCAACCACTTAAGATTCTGTCTAGGTCCTACGCGGAAACGCGACGTGCAGCTGTCCACACATCTTGATCATAATGGTTACTCACAGTTAGCTCTTCTCATCCCAATATAGGTCGATCTGAATCAGACAGACCACCATATTGATTATTAATGCAGTATCTCACGTAATCAGGGGGGATACGCTGGACTGTGAAAAAGAACCTAGAAGACTCCGATTTCGACGATCACTTGTGTCTAATGTCACACAAACTTGAAGATCTACAGGCGAAAACTAACAAGTTGACAGAAGAGGCAGGGCAGTGCAGCGAAGACTGGATTTCAAGTGAATGTAGAGAAGACAGAGGTGATGAAGATACCCAACCATCAACAACAACAAGCTTCAATCACCATCCATCCATCCTTTCACCTGCACCTACCTAGGCAGCACTTTTTCTACTACAGGTGGCGGCACAGATGACGATGTCAAAGTCAGAATCGGAAAAACAAGACAAACAGGCGTTGATTAACCTGAAACCAGTGTGGAGATCTTCTGCACTCAGCATAAAGTGTGAACAACATCCAGATTTTCAACACCAACGTCAGTCAAGTCAGTCAGTCAGTGCTTCTATGTGATGGTTGAGAGACTTGGTGCATTACGAAAGTGATTTCCAACAAACTACAGATACCCATCAACAACTGCTGCCTACACTGGCTTGTTACTGAAGCTCAGAACGCCGGAAAGAATAAGTAACATGGAACTCACTCTGTCTGGCAACGAACCAACGAAGCAAGGAAGCTATCACTCAATTAATAAGGACTGGAAGGAAGGAAGTGGAGATGGATTGGATTGGGCATACCCTGAGAAGGCCGATTGGGGAGATCAGGCGTCAGGCCAGGCTGTTGAGTGGGACCCCTGATGGGAAGCGAGGATTTTGGTGTGCGAGTTGAGGGTGACATGGAGGAGGAAATGAGAGCTTGTGGGCTATGGTGGAGCCAGGTTCAAAAGATTTCAGAGAACAGAACGCATTGAAGACGTGCTACTGAAGCCTATGTTCCACTACGAACCCAAGGGACAAATAATAAAATAATGATAATCTCAGATAATCAGTCGTATTGTCAACATACATCGTAATTATTCATCTCATTATATTTACGCTTTGGTTGGTATTTCTCCTCATCAAGAGTAGCCCAGAAGCAAAACAAAGACGAAGTTGTCTAGACAACAAAACATCGTCCTCATTTTGTTTTCATGCGACCGTTCATGACATCACATGTCAAAAATTATTCCTACATATATGTCCCCTGTTAATTGAAGATGCACAATAAAGATTATGGTGCACTATCCACTTCGAATAATTTGAAGTTCATTCTCAAAACAAATCAGATTATACGTGATGTCGAAAGTATGTAGCGATGCTTGCTACAGACCAACCGTTGACTTTATCTTACTATACATCCGTCGGGTATGCGCCTATTTAGAGTGGGAATAATGTGAAGTTTTTGGATAGTTGAAGACTGATGCTTCACAAGCATCACTTGTATGCGCAGGAGATATTTGAATAGATAGGGATGATGCCACGGACAGACTGACAAAATCAAAGTAGAATGTGACACACAACTGCATCACTTCACAGTAGAACACAAAAGAAAGGTATATAGAAAAAGATTGATATTAAAGGAGACAAAATTATGCGAGAGAATAAACAGTTTGAAGACAGCGGTTAGGGCCAATATTCAGGCTGTAGAAGACGTCAAGGAGTCCTAAACCGATAATTCCTATCACCTTGAGGACCCCAACCAGGCACTTTACATCTTCTTCATATGGCTCAGGCCAACAGTTCGAGACTTTATCGACTGGTGTTATCTCGACATCTGTCCACTCTGAATCCTCTTTCAACCTAATCCAATTCCCCCCTAGAATGGTACATAAATTAAATTCTTAGGTTAATACTTCAATTAAAATTAGCACTGTAATTAACCGTATAAACTCACATGATACGTTCTATGAGGTACTTTGTTAAACAGTACTACAACTTGGCACGTGAACGACCAGGTCCAGTGAGTCGATGAAAGAAACCGCTAGTTATAGACTCTAATGGACGGGATGACATAGAAACAACTGAAGGTGTGCATGATAATGTGGCACATGAAACAACAGTTTGTTGTGAACAACACGATGAATGAATAGATGCCTGAGGTATAACAGGTATTGATGTTTGCTTTCGTTGAGAACAAGAGTGAATCGGACAACTGCATGGTCTATTCGAAGTTGATACAGAAGATGCTGAAACTGGTGATGTATTAACATTTGTAGTAGAAGTCAATTTTGACATGATTGGTTGTTGTTCAGTGGAACAAATTCCTAATGTAGAACATACTGATGAAAAAACAGTCACAGTCGCTGTTCCAACTACGCCAATATCATCTGCAGCACGACTGATATTTGTATAATCTCTACCAGTTCGACGAAGATCCTAAAGGTTTTTTGAGAGAGAACATTCAAAGAATATAAACTATATCTTTTATCATATAAATCAAATAGAATGGTACAGAAGAGAATAGAAATCTGATTAAAATACTAAAGTATAATAACCTAGGGTTTGCACAATGCTTGAAGCAAGCTGGCTGGCAAAGTTGCCTAGATTCCAAAAGAGATGAGAAGGTATAGCATAAAAGTGCTAGGAATCAGCAAAAGCAGATGGAATGGAAGTGGACTTTCCAAACTGTCAACTGGAGAGTCAATAATCTACTCCGGTCACCCAGACGACAAACACACACACGCACATACACAAACTTGAAGATCTACAGGCAAAAACTAACAAATTGAAAGAAGAGACAGCGAAAACAGGACTTCAAGTGAATGTAGAGAAGACAGAGGTGATGAAGGTACCTACCTAACAACAACAACAACAACAACATAGCAAGCATCAATCAGCATCAACAGGAAAAATCGAAACGAAGTTGTCTCTCTCACCTACCTACCTACCCACCTGCCAAAGCAGAATCGTTTCAACTACAAGCGGCATAGTCACACATGAGGATATCAAAACCAGCCAGCCAGCCAACATCGGAAACACAGCAAGACAGGCCTTCCTGCATTATTCTGAAATAATCAGTGTAGAGATCTACTGCACTACACTACACTCAGCATACAGCGTGAACAAGATCTGATTTTAAATACTAATGCCAGTCACGTCAGTGTTTCTATGTGGTGGTTCAGAAACTTGGCGAGTTACCAAAAGCATTTCCAACAAACTACAGACATCATAAATCAACATCTACCACCTACGCTCACTCGATACTGAAGATCAGATGGTCAGAAAGAATAACCAACAACAAACCAACAAAGAGCACATCACCCAAAAAATATGCAGGAGAAGGAAGTGGAGATTGACTGGACTGGATATACATCGAGAAGACGGTTTGGGGACAACATGTACCAGGTGAGGCGAGGCCATCGGGTGCAACCCAAATGGGAAACGATGAATTGGTCGTTTGAGGCGAGGGTGACATGGAGGCGATCGTGTGAGGAATTAATGAAAGCTTGTGCGTAGTGGTAGAGGCAGGTTGAAACGACTGCAGAGAACAGAGCGAAGTGGTGGCGTGCTGCTGAAGCCTTATGTTCCACTAGGAACTCAAGGGACAAATAATAATAATAACAATACCCATATATATATATATATATATATATATATATATATATATATATATATATATATACGAATGTACGAATGGCTATCCAGAAAAGTTCGTAGCTAAGCATATGAATATTAGGAAGGTTAAGACAAGAATCCCAACAATTCTTAAGCAAATCTCCTTGAAACTGGTATTCAAGAGTGATATTGTTAGAGAAGCTTGCAGAGAGCATTTTCATCCGCTAAATTATGTTGCATCTACAACCAGTCAATTCATGGTGTAAGAGATAAAGACAGACCATCTGATTCTGCCACTTTTATGTGTGTTTGTTAGTTCAACTGCTCCTGTGGAGCTAGGTATATTGGGCGTACAATAAAGCAGGTCCATTATCGAATTTCTGAGCACCATCTATCATGGTTGAATAAGGGACAGATTTGAACAACGGACATCAAGTGGATAATAGAAAAACATCAAAAAGTATACATTGTATACTAATTAATTAACCACATAGATTATATATTCGCTTACTGCACATAATAGAGGCAATTGCAATGCACCTTCACAAACATAACCTTTGTATTCAAAAGAAGTTTGTTCAACCGCTTCTCATTCTTATCTAATTATTTATTGTTCACGACTGACAACTCAAAAAAAAGGGGGGAATTAAAAGGCTATCCTAACAACCACAAAAATAACCAATCAGGTTGCAGTATTTCGGATGGGAATACCATTTGTCATAGAACAGAGAAACCTGATTGGTTGTTTCGTCAGTTGCTAGGGTGGCCTTTAAAATCACTGGAAAAAACACTCTATTTACTATTTATCTAAAAATAATCTGTTTCACAGTATCAGAATTTTCATTTTTAATGCAGTTTAATTACTCTGTTGATTCTCAAATTTATCATCTTCATGACTTCCTTAAAATCTGTAATTATTGTTTATCGACCCCTCTCCACTTGATTTATATATTAGCGTAGAGGAGCTAAAGACGACAACCTAATTGAAAACGAAATTATTTCTTTGCTTAATTAGTTTTCTCAGAAAATTTTCACGCTAATTTGTGCAATTCTGTGAGAAGCACTCCAGAAATGAGAATGGTTATCCTGAAAAATTCGTAAGAACTATAAAAATGAAAATAACTGGAGAAAAGCACCTTCAAGTATTGCTGAAGAAATAATTGTATCTGAACTTAGTGTTCAAAAGATATGCAGCTGTAGAAACATACTGACAATGAAACACACGAAAAAAACCTTTATTGCCTCTACACTATGTTTAAAATTTACTACTAGCTGGTCACATCTATGTGCATTTATAAATTTAACTGTACCTGTGGAGATAGTTACATAGACAGAACGACTTGGCAAGCCCACTATCGCTTCATTGAGCACTGTCTAGCGTGGTTAGGCAAAGGAACCGTGAAACCTATCAATACCTCAATACTAGCCCATCTAGTAGATACTGATCATAAGATTGACAAAACCTTGACATTAACTACTCTTTACAAGGTTCCATCACTATACGCTAAGTTTGTGCTCCTCCGACTGCTAAGCCTAGCAGAAGGCATAGGAATTAAAATTTTCAAGCCCAATTTATGTATTCAAATGTTTGTTCGTTCTCTTTCCTTTCCATGGCCTTCAACTTCAACCCAGATATAATTACAATAGTTTTCTTCCCAAGGACCCGACTTCAGTTTCACAATTGGTTAGTTTTAACATTTGATTGCTGTCAGTATAATTAGTGGTAAGTGATGGTTCGAATCTAGCAGTGGTCTTAATCTTTATCTCACCTTCATTCAACACCCAATTTATAAATCTCAGATAGTCAAATGATAATCGATACAATGCTCTCCCTCTCTAATTCATTTACATTTCGACTGGAATGAGAAGTCCTGATTAGGCAGCCAGTATGAATACGATCAAGCAACAGTAACACATCACGAATTCACACAGTAGTCGGGCGAAATCCTTGGTGATTAGAACAGAAGATAAATATGTTCAGAAGTCAGACCTCGTAGCTCAGTTGGTAGATCATCGGGCCGGAAACTCGGTGATCACTAGTTCGGATCCGGCCACAGTTCAAATTTTCATTTGACCCAATATAAATAACAGTCTCCCGAACTACAGCTATCTTAGATAGTCAAAATGATAATACTTTTATTCCCCTCTATCCCTGCAAGCACACACACACACACAAAACACTCAGATACCAACAAGGATTGACTGCTGAAAATACATAAGTTTTGCGAAATTTTGTTTTCGTTAGTATCACCCTTATAGTTAACTTCCAATCCATATATCCGAATTCATTTAATCATGTTGGTATCAAATGAGAACTACGCCGAATAGTTTATAAATGAATCTTTTTTGAAACAAAACTATTTGCAGCACAAAAATAAGAGTCATTGAAAACAAGATTTCCAAAGCATCTCTCTCATTTTGCCGATAATCTGATTCATTTTATATCAATCATCTACTTCGAAATTCAATGAAAATTAATAGTTATAATTTAACCAGTCACATATGTATAACAGAAAATGTCACCTTTATATTTACGTATTCATTCATATGAATTTCATATACTTGGAACAAAAGCCGGAAAAATTGACAGGCAGCTTGTTAGTTTCTTCTCACATACCGATGCTGTCAAAATGTGTCGCATTATTTCATTGCCCGACCCTCTTACACCTGTCACTTCTTAATGTTGTTGCTTGTATTATCCCGTCGATGAGTGGACAAAATTAATCGGTGTCTATTGGCATATAGGCTCCTGCGAGGATGCATTCATATGGCCTGTGATTGAGTTATATATTAATGACCGATAGTGGCTAGTAGTGGAATGCAGGAAGCACATCTCGTCCCATTTGGGACTGACTGGTCGACTGGATGTACCTGTCTCTCAGTGAGCGATATTATTCCTACTAGGACTGCAACTCGGGACCGATTGCTTCAAACACCAGAGCGTTATCTACTAGACCAGTCGCACAAGAAGTGGTTATCGTGACTCGACGGGAATAACATCGCTCACTGGGAGGGAAGTACATGCAGCTGACGAGTTCCAAATAGGGGGAAACGTATGTTCTGGATTCCACTACTAGCCCCTAGCCATCATTAATTATCAGTAAATACTGAAAATACTTTATGAACAAGGTAAAATGATAGACTGCTGCGAACAGTGATACAAATGACACACGTATATCATTCCGATATGTATATCTTACAAACACAGCATACATTCATGATCTAAGAAGCCAGAGTTTCGGCTAGCAAAAGTTGTTTCAATTTAACGAATAGTATGAACATTCAATATGTAGTTGAGAATGCGGTTCCAAAAGGCCAAGAATATTTTTTCCTGAATTCGAATCGTTATCAATAGTTGCAGAACAGCTTCAACAAATGACACATGACCAGGAGACATGAAGAAAGATGAGAAGGCAAAGATGTGGATAGTTGATAATGATCTGAAAGAGCTTGAATGCTGGTTAGACTATGAGGGTGGTCAACACCTTCAGTTGCTCACATAGTGATAAGCATTACCCAGTAGTTATGTTTTGTGCATTACACTGCCGAAATTCAAAGTACTATTAAAAGACTGGCAACAGCCTATTCTCGAATTCACCAGTGTTAGTGAACCATTGAAAGTTTTCGAAAAGTTTGTTTAACTTGGGTTATATTTGTGTTGGTGGAAGTGTGACCGGTAATACTTCTTACCAACAGACTTGTAATGTAAGTCTGTCTATCAGAGACTTGGCGTGCCATACTTTGGACAGGCAGTTCTCCTCCCCTTTTGGGTCACCTGCCCTAAATGCTAACGACATCCAACGTGTATACCACTGTTGGCTCATCAGGATTGCTGGCATCAAGTGACAACAACATCAAGATATTTCTAACATACAGAGGTGCGTCTTCAAATGTTATGGTGATCATCGTTTAATCAGTGAAGTCATCTTGAAATCCCTATCTGGTTAGTTGAATGTCAAACCGTTGACTATCTGAGATAGCCATAGTTTGGCAGACTAGTATTTATACTGAGTGATGATTGAAGGTGAGATGAAAATTTGAACTGTGGCCGAATTCGAACCAGTGACCATCAGGTTTCCAGCCCAACGCTCTACCAACTGAGTTCAGATTAGGCCGCTAGTGTGAATACGATCAGGCAGCAGCAGAACATCACGAATTTTTATGGTAGTCAGGCAAAATCTTCAAGATCGATGTGAAATAAAAATCTGTTCAGCAATCGGACCTTGCAGCTCAGTTGGTAGATCATCGGGCTGGAAACCTAATGGTCGCTGGTTTGTTCACTATTAGTTTGTTTACCAAAGAACTGGCTGAAAGACGCATAGAGGTGGTGAGCGTGTACTACGAAACCATGTGATGAAAAAGACTCATGTGTTGGGTTAACGTCTATTCAAACTTCTGTATTCTCTAGATGGAGTTCGAGAAATCATACAACTCCATGGCTTAAGATAATAACAGATGTGGTTGAGAAATAAACAGTGGCCATCACGCTGCAGTTTTACTGTCCCTTTGTATGCCTGATTTCTTGGTCTCGATGTTGCACATAGTTTTCGTTCAAAAACAATATTAATAGTAACGATAATAATAATAATAATAGTAATAATAATAATTATTATTATTACTCAACTCGCATTTTACTCATAACGTACACACCAAATTGTAAAATGACGAACATCATTTTAGCCAAATTAAGTAATAAGCATAGATTTTCTGGAAATTTGACCCAAAGAATGGGTATGCAACTCACAGTTTCCATTTGTATACGTTTGGACATAGTATTCACGTACTGTTGAACAGCTTTATAAATAAATCTATATTGTGTTTCAGTTTGAACCATCCCAGAGCGTTGTTCCCTTACAGCTTGTATTGTTCGAGATATATCTATATCACAATTCAATCCCATTGTTTTGATATAATTAATAAGCATATCGATGACAATAAACGCTCCAGTACGTCCAATACCAGCACTGCAATGCACAACAATAGGTCCAGAACCGGGAATACTACCCTGTATATGAAATTAAAAGATCACTTTAATTTTCTACACATACTCATATAGAAAAAAACAAACAAGAGGTGGATATCGTGCCCCAATGGAAAACATTTGGGGCGTTTGAAGTGAATGGTACTGGATTCAAGCTTCAGTGGAAACAACATCATTCTGAAATGGAGTGCAGGTGCACCCAGCTGATGAGTCCTAAATAGGACGAAACACACGTGTCTGGATTTTTCTGCTAGTCACCAAGATCAATCTACTACAAGTACTTTTAATATATATATATATATATATATATATATATATATATATATATATATATATATATATATATATAATAAAATCATACGAAACAAAATCGTTTTAAAATGATACAATAGGATTTGATAGGAAATAACTTTGAAATCTGCAAACAAATAGCACAGAACCTATTTTGAGTGCTACAATCAATATCAGACTAACATCTCCAACTCTCAGTAAATATATCCATCGTAATAAATATTATAAAACGTATATTCCTATTGCAAACAAGGTTGCATTAAAGTAATACGTGGAGAGTGTGAGAGAGATGTGATGCTTGACAGCAAGCACTTGAACTGAAGGTGAAGAAAGCATGATATCAGTGCTTTGGTCTGCCAGCCGCTTATATTTTCCCAGCTTAATTTGACTTCAACTAACAAAGTGTATCAACGTAGAAGAAAATGACTAGACGTGCCTAACATGTTTCAGTCACTTCAGTAATTGATGAAGGTTCACAATCTCTTTTGTCTAAGGCAAATTCAACATAACGCTTTCATAAGGAATCGTTAAGGTTAGGAATGTGATGATGGTGAGACATCTGAAATCTTCGTGTGCTCTTCACCTTCAATGGCAAAGATTTACAATCAAGAAGTAGGATCATTAATAGACAATCGGATATCTCACCGGTTCCGCGAACCGTGTCCATTGATGGAAAAACAATCGAGCATTTTGTTTCTGTGACGAGATTTTGTTGGCCACAGACTTTACAGGACTGCTCCGATATCCTCTGTAATCGAAGTGCTTAACTGATACAACCATTTTACACCGTGTTGGGAGATAAGATATCAAAATAAACCAGTTGCAAAACAATGACAAGAATGACAAATTTTCCGGAAGACTTCCTCTTATAAGTACACTCACTGAAAAGAACTTTATTATTTGTACACAGTAAATCTACGAAGAGTTTCCTGTGACGGAGTTAATCCTCGCTACGTTGAATGAGAGAGTGCGACATTCATAAATACACCAACGGTGAAGTTGAATAAAAATGGAGAAAATGAATATCTTTGACAGACATTCCTCGATGTAGACAACTGAAATGAGAGCCGATCATAGGCTCTGACACGGCTATGTAAGTTTGAGTATGGAGCGTTCAAAAGTGTTACGTACATTAGTGAGAGACACTGTCATAAGACCTCTCGATTGACGGAGTTAAATATCAGCTTCAGGTCAAGAAATTTAGCTGGGTGCTACCTTCATGCGATGGTCCGGTTTGTGTATCACAATGACCCGATGAGATATGCTGGTGGAGTACTTGTTCTCTCGAGGTCCTACCATACCAGAAGCGTTTGTTGGATAGTGGTTAGAAAAAAAGAGTTACCCTTAAAATGTAGATTGCTACGTTATGATGGGGATCTGATAACGAAGTTCTACTGTCGACTGGATGGGGGTGTGACAGCAGTAAGGTGTTTCCCTTGGATGACCAGAAGTGCCACTCTGATCCTGTCTTCCCTAAAGGAGGAGGTTAGAAGAGGTCGGCCCCAAAAATAGCACACTCCCACCCCTCGTGGCATGCCATTGTCTGCAATAAGGATTCTCAGTTGGATTCAAAAGCAAAAAACCAAGATCTCAAACTTTTCAAAAGGCTGTGCGTGACCAGGCTTAAGCAGATGTCCCTTGGGCTCTATGGGCAATCGAGAAGTGTCAGCCGCCTGCACGTTTCTAGTAGTACTATAAGGCACGATAAGTGTATTTCGAAAATTGATGGAAGGTGAGGACCTGGTAGATCCACCTATGAGCAAGACTGAAAGCCATCTGATATTATCAGGTTTGAACACTATTTTCGTCAAGCTTATCCCATTACTCTCCGGAACATTAGTAAGATTAGCGATTGAGACTAGGTGGGAAGGAATGTATATCTAATTTCTACAAACCAGCTAAAAGCTTAACCTGTCTATCGGGTATTCCTTGGTCACTACTTAACGAACCAAGAATAAAAAGCAAATTAATGATATTCATCCAAACAACCTAAGTGTATGAACGTAGAACTCAAAGTAAATCTGCTGGCGACTGGTCCTATACAGAGTTTTGTGAAATTTACCATTTGAAGTAAAATGGCCTGAATGCAAGCTATAAAAACCGGAATATCGCAAGGCAGAAAGTGTGTTATTTTGAGGGATTAATATTTTTCTAATCTCCCAATAAGGAAACGTAACATTAGCAAGTGATGTTTGGTCATCTTATGAAAAGATATTACTGCTGTTACGTCGCTTACAGCCAATAGCATGACTTCGTTCTCCAACTGTCATCACCATAACCTCAACTACGTGCCCTGCTTTTAGTCTTACCACTACCCAACAGACCCAGCCGACATAGCTTGTCAAGTTGTTGTAACAAGCAAGTTCGATTATCACACAAAAGTAGAAGGTATTAAGCGGGACCGGTGGGGGTATGGATGTATTTACTTTCGTTATTATTCCTCAATCGAATGTATATATGTTTTTTGGAATTTCAACTTATTCATTCGCGTAATTTAGATCATACAGTGTTAGTTGGTCGGAAGCAATTGACGGGAAGCTCTGGACCTAAGTTTCGTGTTTGCTGGAATTCGTCAGCAAATCGTATCTGCAACCTTGACGGAACTCATGCCTCGCGTGAGATTCGAACCCACGTCACTTAATGTTGTAGTCAGCTACTTTACCACTGAGTTATTCGGGCTGTGACTGACCTTCGCCAAGTTGAGCCTCCTGGCTTGGTGGCCACATTGCAAATAGGATTCGGTTGACTTTCAGGACTACACAATATGAAATTAGTTGCTCTCCCGTGGCCAATCTAAATATCATACAATGTTCAAAAGAAATGAAACAACTCCCACCAAGAAGATGGTCTTTCACTGACCTAAAATCACTGTGGAGATCTATTGCAGTGCACTCCACTCAGCATAAACAACAAGATACGGATTTTTAACACCAATGTCAGTCAAGTCAGTGTTTCTATGCGATGGTTGAGAGACTTGACGCGTTAGCAAAAGCATTTCCAACAAACTGCAGATATCATACATCAACAGCTGCCGTCTACGCTCACTCGATACTGAAGATCAGATAAGATGCCGTAAAAAAATAAGCAACAAGGAACTCTGACCTGGCAACGAACCAACCGAGAACCCATCTCTCAACAAATATGCAGGAGAAAGTGGAGATGGATCGGGCACACACTGAGAAGACCATTTGGGGACATCACGCGTCAGGCCAGGCCGTCGAGTGCAACCCGAAAGGGGAAACGACGAGTTGGTCGTTCGAGAGTGACATGGAAGAGATGGTGGAAGGAAGAAATGCAAGCTTCTGAGCAGTCGTGCATTCAGGTCGAGAAGACTGCAGAGAAGAGAGTGAAATGGCGACGTGCTCCTGAAGCCCTATGTCCCACCAGAAACCTAAGGGACAATTAATAATAAATAACGAACCAAGATATAACAAAAATATGTCGAATAAGGAAAAAATGTCTACTGCCAGGGGTAGACAAATTCATGGCTGATTGCAACTAAACCTTGTATATGTGTTTATTTATTAGGCAATAAATCTTGCTTATTATAAGAGGATTTTATATGGATATTACACATTTGCTCAAAGTAGGTGAGTGAAGTGGGCTTTAAACCCGGCAACTATTTCTTGAAAATTGAATGTTTAAATGAAAGGAACACATTTTCACTAAACAATTAGACATAAATAAGTCGGTATAGTGATTAAATGAATCACCACAATTATTATGATAGTTTTAACTATCCGAGGTAGCCGTAGTTTGGCAGATTAGTATTTATACTGGGTGGTGAGTGAAGGTGGAATGAAAATTTGAACCGCGACTGGATTCAAATCAACGACCACAGGGTCTCCGGGACGATGATCTACCAACTGAGATACGAGGCCCAACTGCTCATTAGATTTTTATTCCACTTCAGTCACCAACGATTCTGCCTGTCTACCGTGACGTATTACTATCGCTTGATCGTATTCAAACTGGCTGCCTAATCAGGACTTCTCATTCCAGTCCAAATCTAACTGAATCAGAGAGGGGGAGCGTCATATTGAATTATTATTACTCTAGTAAGATAAAGAAAATAGGTAGTGAATAGCGGAGTACACCCATTTGATCATAGGAAAAGAAAAGATGTGAGTTGCAGCGAAGAAATTTTTTTTTCTTTTCGACGATGTCATTTACTAAGCTGTACATTCGTGAATATATGTTACAGTTGACAGAACGTTCCAGAATTATTCCCGGTTAGGGAGCAAAATATACTGAATAACTAAAGGAAGTTTATTTAATACACCTTTTGAGTTTAGAGTGGGAAAATACACAAAGGATTATGAAATTAAATGTAATTATGCAATACAGGATGGACGTATGACAAAGTAGGAAAATAAACGAAGGGTTAAGAAAATAGAATTTAAATTTCGTAATGCAGGTTTAATCTATGACAGAGGAGGAAAGTAAACACTTCAGATTTCATAATGAGATCTACAATGACAATAGGTTCTCCACTAGGACCTCTTCTAGCTAATTGCTTCATGGCAAGTCTGGAAAAGATCAACTTATCATCAACAATCAATGAACTTTATGTCTACAGAAGATACACTGATGATAACTTTATAGTTTATGAAGAAAATATGAATCTTGCAAACCTCCATCATACTTTCAATAACGTCCACCCATCAATGAAATTCATTCTAGAATCACAATGAAACTCAACGTTTCATTTTCTTGAAGTTTTACTCCAAAGA